TCTAGCAGATGGGACATATTTAGCTGGTTTAGCCATGGGAAACTCTGCTAGGACGCTCCCCTTCTCTGCCTTCATCTTCATTTCTAGCTGCTTTTTAGCTATTTTGAGCTTCCTTTAGCTTCGTGAAGCATCATTTTCTTGACTTCGTGCTTATCAGATGTAAATGAGTCGTAGGATTTTGGGAGTAAGCGGGTTCTTGGATTTTGGCTTGCCAGGAAATCTGACATTCTTCCTGATTGTAAACCAGCCACCTCAAGATTCTCCAGGAAAAAAAAATATTCTGTTTCATACTTGGTAGAGTATTTTGGTGTTTAGTTTTATTTTATATTATTTTCTGGGAAGTATTTATCTCTCTTACCAGAGCTTTTCGAAGTTCTACGATTATGTAGTTCATAAAGCGAACATTTTTCCGTAATTTTGAGCCGGCTTTGTTGGTTTTCACATGCGTAGGTCACCATCTCAAATACATGGACAATGATTTCTATACTATTATTGCTTGTTTTCTAAATAAGAGAGACACGAAGGTCTGGGAAAGATTCTCAGCGTGAACATTTTGCCAAGGAAGCTTTCTTATCTTGTGTTTAAGGGATTTTTTCTTATCTTGCTTTTAAGGTAGAGGCTTGATTTTTTGGTCTCACAAATTGTATTTTTGTTTCCCTGGCTTTTGGTTTGTCTGCTGGGGAAGGAGGATGTGATGTGCTCATTTGTGTGATATTATCAAGTTGAAGAAAAATTACTCCAACGAAACATTTTTAACACTGAAGATCTGTAGAGCAATAAAGTCAATTAGAAAGATCATATAATGCTGAAAGTTGAAAATATACTCCACTGCCATGATTCTAATTTGATTATAATTTATTTTTAGTATTTTCAATCATTATAAGAATTAAAATTATTGAACAAATTAAAATTATAAGAATTTATAAAAGAAACAGTCACCTGATTTTTTTAAAATTATAGTAATTGAAAATACTAAAAAAAATTATAAGGGTTAAGAGCAGAACCTGATAAAATTATGAGAAGTGATTATAGTGTTTTGTCTTTTAATTAAAGGTCTTTGACCTTTTTAGCATATTTCAAAAAGGTAAGATTAGCGGTCCGCGTAAATCAGAGGGTCGACCACTTTGGTATGCGTGAATTTATGTGGACTTTTTGGACAACGCATTTCAAGACTTTTCAGCACTGGATTACTTGATGTGAGCACAGATTCTCTTTTGGCTTGCTAGTCTTCTCTTCTGTAACAATCAATTTAGGTTCAACATTTTGAAACCAGAAAAGGCAAAGGGGACTCTATTTCTGGCATTACAAAGCATACAGTTATGAGATTTATGTCATACAAATTAATGCAGCGACGAAGGTGATAAATAAAAACTAGTGCATGGCCGGCAAAGTTAAGATGCGACTGCTGCAGGATTGATTAAAAGAACATTGAGGCGAGTCACAGTGTAATTGTAAAATGTCTAGTTTCTTGACCTTGAGAAAGGGAGAAAGTTGAATTTGCAGTTTTGTTGCCATGGTGGGCACTGATTCTATATTCTCCTAAGAACCCATAAAAGCTAAAGGAACCGTGTTGATCTGTCACTCCCTTTACACTGCAAGTTTGCCATTCTCGAAGAAGTTTATCCACCACATCACCTGCTGGAAGATTCCTGAAACCACTGTCGGTGAGGCACATTTGATAACACCCTTGAGGATGAAATGCTGTCCATAGCATTATTCCATTCACACTAGGGTGACTGAACCCTTCTCTCAGCACGTCTTCCAAATAGCTACCCTGCATGCACAGAATAGATGAGGAATTACACCACATTCAGTCAAAGGGAAGGGAAGATCAATCAGCTTATGTTGATGACCTGTGTATCTTCATCAAGAGTCTTGCTTATGTCAACTTCGGTAAACCAGATGGGGATTCCGAGTGTTGCCAACTTGTCTAGGATTGCCCTAATGAGAGGAGGATTTGGTATTGTGAAGTGACCTTCTAAGCCAATCCCATCCATAAAGATACCATTTTGCCTCAATTCTTGTAGCCTCGAGATGTAGGAGTCAACAGTGGAATTTACATCACAGCAAGTCTCAACGACATTAAAGTCATTCATGAACAAGGTTGCTAATGGGTCGGATGTATGTGCTGTCTGGAAAAAATGCAAGGAGGCATCAGGTCCAAGTCGTCGCTCATAGAAATCAAAGTGAAGCATCTCGTTGCTGACATCCCAGTGTATGAACTCATCTTTGTATTTGCTCATTAAACTTTGGATCCGAAAACTCACGGCAGATTGTAATTGGGGACTGGTTAGGTTATGAACCCATGCTGGTGTGTATTTAGGATCTTCCCAGAATATGTTGTGGCCTCTTGCTATGAGCTTGTTTTCTCTCACAAATTGCATCATCTGATCTGGAATGTTGTAATTGACCTTGCCTTGGTCAGGCTCCGTAGCGTACCATTTGAGCTCGTTTTCAAATACTACAGCATTGAACCGCTTCACAAACCATTTCTGCATGCACAAATGGGAAGATTTTCATTTTTTATTTTTTCATTTCTGAGTTGTCAAAAATGTCATTTGACCCACTTTGAAATATCTAATCAAGCCCAAACTATGTAGAAACTGAGTAATAATGGCTTTTCGGTTCTAATTATGTCAGCGTTCCTTGAATGGACTGGGTAACTTGTAGATATAAACGAATGTGGGAGGGGGTAGATAGAAACCTGGTATGGCAAATTGCCAAGAATGGTCTTTGCTATGGCAGATCCGAAAGGGAAGTCTTTAGAGACCTGCTCTACAGTGATGGAAGCTCCTGGCAATCTGTCTCCATTTGAATTAGACACATGAATAGTTACCGCTCGCTTTCTTCTCTGCGAATCACAAAGTGGGGACAAATTTTAATTCTGCTGATACATGAATCAATTATATGCAGAAAAACCATTAAATTTGAATGCACTCACAGTGTTGATGATATACTGTTGGTTCACTCTCCATTGCTGTTTGGTAAATGGCTGCAAAGAAGGGCTGGCCAGGGCTATTTTGATGTCACTACCATCAGCGTCCTGCAGCACTAGAACAATCAATCAAATATGCTAATGGATTGAAGCTGTTTAGGAAGCTTCAAAATTTCAACAAATTGAAAGGTACCTGAAAGAAGAGTACTGATAATTTTGATGGGGAATCCAGAACAAATCCACCTTTAAGAAATGACCAGCATCCAAGCTTGGCCAAAACTGTGCCAATGCAGTCATATGTCACATTTTCCGTTTGGAGGGTTGCCCTTATTAGAGCTGAACTTCCACTTTCAACTCTTACCCAAACTGTAAAATATGATAGGCATCAGCATCATGACAGTGCAATACCAGCATGCAACACCTAATCTAACCCGTCAATCACATCACAAAAATATAGTTCGAGATACATAGCAAAGAGGCTAAATTTCTAGATGTCTGACGTATTACAAAAATTGAAGTAGGAGAAAGAGAGTAATGAAGACCACGCAACTGGAGAAGCAGTAGATTGTCCCCCGAGTGAGGTTTTGCAAAACCAATGAAGGCATAATATAACCATGGCCTTCCTCAACACTCTGATTCTGAGAGGAAAACTGAGGGAGATGATTGCCGAGAATTCCTCCCCCGTAAAGCGGCTCCTCGGGCTCCCTTTTGCACTGTCAAGAGAACAGTAAGATTGGAAACAAACACAACATCAATCTTCTCTATCCCATGCTGAAAATATCTTACCTCTGCGTGCGCAGTGAAGTCATAGATGGGTCCATCTGCAATGCAGAAGACAAGTAACATCACACACTGGGAATCCCAGTCAACTTAATAGTTGTCGCTCAAATTAGGGTGGGAAAGGAAAGAGAACCGTATGAAGTGGAAACCAAGGAAGCACAGACGAAGAGAACCAAGCCAAAGAATGGAATAATATTTCCCATGTTTTGGACTTTGGAAGTTGAAGGCGGTCACTTTCCTTCTGAAACAGTGAAAGCGATGAATTAAGAAGTCCAGACTGTGGTGAAAGGGAATGGTTTAGCATATATATACAGAGGCCCTGTTATTGTCGGATCTTGGACCTATTCTTACTCTTAAAGAAAGAAAAGTGTTAACTTTTAGTTTTTAGAGGTTAATGACAGTGAAAGTTGACATCACAAGGGAACAGGAGAATTCTGAGCAGAGACCCGTGCTAGGCTAATCACATGGCTCTACGTGAGACATAAAGCTTCATGTGACTATTAAATGAGTGGCAGTTATATAACACAGCCTGTGTTTTTTTGTGCTTGTATGTGAGTGCGATACTCCATAATGCTCTGCAGTTGGCAAATTTTACTACTTCGGTTCGTGTTTTCATTGATTAGCAATTTACCAGGCGCACACTATTTCGCTACGTCATTTACAACTTTCCCGAGACATAAATTGCTTCATTCGGCATCATGGATCCAGACCTATTCTACAGTCTTCCCCTCTCGTTTTGCTTTTTCATAGTGTATACGTTTGGGCTGGTTCTTTCCCATTGCGAAGCTGGATTTAGGTGTTAATAGCGCTGGGTACAAATAAGGATCCCAATGACATAGTAGCAAGGCCCAATTAATTCCTATCTAACTCATTGAAACTTGAACGCAATTCATTTTCCCAACCTTGGTTTGAAGTAGTTGGATCAATTACGGAGAGATGGCATTAAAACTCATGTAAGGCCCATTTTCAGCCATGATTCGTTTCCTGCCACACCAGAGCATGCTTTTCTTTCTTTCGTTTCCTTTTATTATTATTATTATTATTATTATTATTATTATTATTTCCGAATAGACGCTGGTAAAAAGTAGAAACTGTAACGATGAAGCTTTCATGATTGCATTAATTACTCAGTCGCATGCGAGCTCCCTCAGGGTCAAATGGATATGGAAATTTGAAACTGCTCGTGAATTTGATAAGTAATAGACATGAAAAGGATGACGTGTTCATCATAAATGTTTTTCATTTTACCTTGAGAGATTTATTTTTGTGGGGCGAGAAGAGCGAATGGTTGAACTAATGAGGTGGTGCTCACTTTATCAAATACAGTACATGTGGAAGAGAACAATTAATGAACTCATACTCTGACTAGGGCGTGTTAAATACCCAGATTACAGTGATAAATATAACTAACAGATCTTAGTAAAAGAATGATTCAACAACAACAACAACAATTCTGACTTGTAGTGGCAATTTTTTTTTTTTTTTTTTGGTTCTTTGTGAATAGAACTAACAGATCATACAGGGGTGCAGCCTGGCTATGAGAAGTGGGGAATGAATAAATAAGCTTACTGAGGCCTAAAGAAATCAGGATATCACCAGGCAAAAAGCCCATCAATCCTATGATTCCTGAGCCGTGTCTGCACTCAAAGGCAAAAGGGACAATGGCGCTATCTCCTGCCTTTGCTGGCAGAGATCTTTTTGTAGACATTATTGGTTCTGATTGACAACAAAATGTCCAACAAGAAGCCAACAATACAAGCAACAGCCATGATAATGAAGACAAGCCTGTAACAGTGAGCACCCACGCAGGTGTTGCCACCTCCTGAAACGGCGGTAGCCTCTATATCGTATAATATGCCGGCGAGGAGGCCAGAGAAGAGGAAAGAGCCGAGGGGAAGATTGAGGATGAGGATGTTGTAGATGAGACCATAGTATCTGAGTCCGAAGAGCTCGGAGGCAGTCGGGACAGTGATGGCGAGACGCACTCCGTAGCAAATGCCAACCACCACGGAGCCAACATAGAGGGAACCAGGCACAGCCATGGCCATAAGTACGTATCCTACACCCATCACAATCTGCGAACCTGCGTTCCACAGAGGTCTGGGTGTTGCAGCTTTCCTGTCCGCACGCACGAGCCACATATCACGTCAGCTATGTTTACACTAAATGACAAAAGTTCAACCCTGACAACCAAGCTGGGTTACTTTCACTTGTCACTTTCCTCTTTCATTTATGACCTTTTACCCAACTTCCTTGATTGCACCATTGCCCAAGACATTACAATAGATAACGATTAAAACACAGTCAATTCAATATTTTCTTTCCTACTTAAAAATCTTGAATTAGAGGGGCAGACACGGACTACATGAGATTAGAAGCAAGATTGAACTTACAATCTCCCTGCCGAAAGCCATCAGGATCAAATCCACAACCTTCCATGCCAGGAACTTACACGTCACTTGATTATAAGATTATTGAATTCCTATTAAAAGTTTAAAACCACGTGTATAGAACAATATCTAAAAGTTTTTAATTCAACAACCCATCGATAGGCTATTGTCTAAAGCAGGTAAGGCAATTCAAATAGGTGGGTTTAAAATATCCAAACACATAAAAAAGTTATATATAGCCAAGCCCAAACTCAAACTTTCGGACGGCCTGAATATTCAAATTATTAAATATTTTATTATTTTATATTTATTTTTATCTAATTTAAATTTTTCTTATTTTAATATTATTTTATTAATAATAATAAAAAAAATTCAAGTATTTAAGTTAAGCTCATTTAGGTTTGGGTTTGGCCAAGTTTTTTATTTTTTAAGTTTACTCAAGCGGCCCAAATAAGCTTGGAATAAATAAAGATTAAATTTTCAAATATGATATTAAGTCTTGGTTTGAATTATCACCTCCAATATTGTTATTAGTATATTTATTTTATTATAGCACCCATAAAACGAGAAAAGCAACAAACACGAAAGTCAAAAACCCGTAAAACTAGAAGAAAACATGCCGATAAGATTATAATACTCGCTCCGCCTTGATATTTTTAAAAAAAATTTCTTATCTTAAAATATAAGATACTTTAAATAGATTAAAATTTTATTAAATACATCAATTTTAATATTATCATTTCTCTCTCTATAATTAATTTCCAATATTTTTCTTTTTAATATATTAAATAATAAATATTTTTAAAAGTTTATATTTTTATTTTAAAAAGATAAGGTTGTTAAATGTATTTAATGAGATTTATTAATATATAAAATTTTATCTAAAAATATTTTATAATTTGAGACAAACGAAATATATTATCAGGTGTAGAAGACATTCAAGTACTATAGGAGGCGCTTGAATAACTCTCAGTTCATCTCAAACCCTTGAAGGCCCGAAAACCCAAAAAAAAAAATGAGGCGCTATAAATGAAAGAGTTATTTGTAACCAAGATGGATGCATGCATACATACAAATAAAAGCTGGACCTTTTAAATTTAAATATTAACAAATAAAACCTGTTGTGAAAAGCCGCCGCAGGCAACCATATGCAAATTATAATTAGATTGTGGCAGGAAGCTTTACACGGATTCGCAAAGTTTGGGGTCAGTTTATTATAATTATTATTTATTGTAAATCTAAATTGTGCAGATTTTTAAAGATTCTGTATCAAAAATATAAATATTGGGATACAGATGATTTGGAGGGAGCTCAACTGCTCTAGCACCAGAGTTTCATATCATATCATAAAATAAGTAGGGCGGAATGTTTGGTGCGAACTAGAAAGTAGAAACCATCCCCTGTTTGTTATTTAATTTTTTTGTCTTTGTTGCCTTTTCGGCCGAAGTCCTTTTTCTATTTTAATTTATACAAACAAAGAAAGCGTGAGAGATGGAAATTTGACCGTGCAGATGTAGATTGAGGAAAGGTAAGAACGGTGACTTACTTGATAAAATATTCGGAAACCGAACCAGATATGATCCGCCCGAAGAAACCCCAAATACTCGTGAGCGACACAAAGATGGAGACGTCGGAGTATCCGAGTGCCAGCCCGATTTGACCCATGTTGTTCATGACCGCCAAGCCCGTTCCAACTCCGCACAGAAACGACACGAACAGTATCCAGAAATCAATCGTGGCGAGAGCCTCCGCTATCGTGTGTTCCTCTCCCACCGCTGGCCTCCTCTTCCCTGCAACCACCTCATCCACCCTCGCCTTCTCCTCATTTCGAAGCAACGGCTCCTTCCCCCGCTCTTCAATATCCAGAAGGGGTCTCAGGCCTTTGAAGTAAGAGTGCACCGGAATCACCAGCGGCGACGCCAGCAGAACCAGTAAACCAACGGCGAACGCTCGAGACACGAGCATGCTGGGATTGGGTATGAATCCAAAAATCAAGAGATAAACGGCGACGATAACTGCAAGCACGTTCAATATACCGAAATACTTGGATTCTTCTTCGTTCTCGGCGGCGGTAGAAGCGGGGGGTGACTCGCGGAGGAAAAAAATTCCGGCGAGGCAGACGGCGAAGGGAATTATGGAGAGCATGATGAGGAAGGAAGAGGGATCGTCGGCAAACAAAGCAGAACAGAGATTGGTGAATATTCCGGTACTTAAACCAACAAACCCTTTAAGAATGCCAGACACTGGTCCCCTGTTTTTCCGAAAGTTTCGTATGGACGTCACTAAAACCGCCGTGTTCATCCACGTCGTGCTATTCCCTCCCATACACAAAAATATGCACATCTAGACAGAAGCAATGGAAGTTAATTACAGAATGTAAAGTTATTCAGTACACAGAGATTCGCTGATGCTGTCGGAGACACAAAAGTGGAGCCGCTCCGGAGTTAATGAATTTGATGAGGAGGCCCACTGGACAGTTGCGTAAGAAATTAGATTGAGCGTATTGATTACCTGCCAGTAGGGAAGGGGCGGGATCCGTTGACTAACGACGAGCCATTGGACGCCATATCCGAGAAGACCTTCGAGGGAGCCGATGAGGAGGATGACCCACGTGGGGAAACGATCGGAAGCGAGGCCGGCGAGAAGCCCGAAAGCCTTGCCGACATCTTTAGCGACGGAAAGATTGTTGAGCTCGACCTGTGTGAGATGCATGAGGGACTTGAGAGCGTCAGAGTAGTTCGAGAAAGTGTAGTTGTTGCCGGAAATTGATTGAATCCAGACGGCGGTGACGAGGCCGAGCCATTTGCCGGCGGTGGAACGGGAGATAGAGGATGAGTGGAAGAAGCCCATTGAAGACAAGGAAGAAAAGAGGAAAAGCGGATGACCGGGGTTGGAGTCCGCAGTCGCAGAATGTATATTTATAGCAAAAAAAAAAAAAAAACTTTAGAGGCAAGTTGCGTCGGGTCGGCCGAAGGGAAGTCGATGATGAATTGAATTGATTTGTATTCTAGAGAGAGAGAGAGAGAGAGGGAGAGGGAGATGAGAAGTGGAGACGATACGATGGCTTTGGTCGGGGCCCACACGAAGGCCGTGCCCCTTCATTTCAATTCAGGAGCGAGAGCATTGACCGTACGTTACTTGGTGCTTGTGTCATCTATGATGCGCAAATGGCAGGCGCTTCTCAGGATCCAACCAGTAAGCAACTTGACATGGAAAGTAATACTGTTATATCTTTTGTATAATTAATTAATCATAACGATTCTGTTGATATTATTACGTGTCTGTTTGGATAAACACAAAAATCATTTTTGCATCCCATAATCAATTTTTTAATTGAAATTACCCAAACACTAGAAAAATACAATAACCAATTAAAGAGCTTAGACGCACGTTAATTCATAATCTATCAAAACCAGCTTCAAGTTTTTAGCTTTTTACCGTTATTCATGTGCTCTTTCTTTGTGAAAGTTGAAAAATCCATATTACCCTTCACGTGATTTCTCTCTCTTCTTTATAATCTTCATTTGGTCTCATTTCTCATCATTCGCGGCTTCATTTCTCATTTCTCTCTTCTTTCTCATTCCGCATTTCTGATCTCCTCTTTCGTTCGGTCTCACCTGTCGGTCCTTACAGTGGTGCCGCCTCTCTGCCGTCGTCCAACCGTCCCCAACTTAGTCACCATCCACCATCTCACTGTCGTGCTATCTTTGCCGTCATCCACCCACCTCCAACAGGTGTGCCGTCTCACAGTTGATTCTCACAGAAGCAAGGATCTTTCGATCATCTGCCAACTCTATGCAGATCTGTGGTCCTCATAGCGTCTCCTCCTCTGTCCGCCGCCTCCGAGTTGCTTCCAGTGGTGGTGATCTCTTGCCATAGTCGAGGATGCAGTAAGCTTTATCTATACTCTGTTTCCAAGATCTGCTCATGGTCGGCCGTCCGTCGCTGATCTACTCGTGGTCCTCTTCAATCGGTCCAACTTAGAGGTAAATGATCTTCTCTAACCTTCTTTTAGACGATCTTGGTCAGGTTTGAAATAAGAAATGAAATATACACAGATAGAGACTTCAAAGCACGGATCCAAACCTTATCATTGTACTAATCAGCAGAGTAAAATGATGCATTGCAACAGCACACGTTTTTCTAGCAATACAGCGTAGAAATAGAGCCTCACGTTTAAGAAAGGTCGCTCAAATTCTGTTTTCCTCTCCACTCTGATCTATGCACGGATGGATTTGTTCTCACGATTGCTAGCTTAGTTTTGTATGATTTGAACCATTTACAACTCTTGAACATTTGCAAATAATAATATGGGTGAAAGTTGATTTTTCATGCTATTTCTGTGTTAGTTTTGTGCCTAGTTGAACTTTGTGTTGAAAATGGGAGACCTGTTAAAAGTTAATATTTTAGCTATTGAAACCTAATTTTAGTCAAAATGTTATACATTTGCAAATTGTGGGAAAGCTGTTGAAAGTTAATTTTGTGCCAAGTCGAACTCTTTGCTGGTTTTGGTTTGTGATCACTGATTACTGAAGCTTTATTCTCAAACAATATGTTTTGCATATATAGGGGTCATTTAGTCAAATTTTTTGCTATGTAAGTCTCTGTTGAATTTGGCTCCTCTGAAAATTGTCAAGTTTTTGTCATGCAATATTTTAATTATAATTTCTATAATTAATATGTTAGTTTTTTATATAGTATAATGAGTAACAACAAGTCAAAAGCTTCATGGGATCGAAGAAATACTAGACTCTTTATTGACATTTGTTTGGACCAAACTCGAAAATCGCAAAGAAATGGCGGTAGTTTTACCAAAGCATGATGGCTCAACATAATTTCTACCTTCAATGAGAAGACTGGACAGAAATATGAGAGACAACGATTCAAGAATAAGTGGGATAATATGAGAAAAGAGTGAGTATTGTGGGATAAGTTGGTTTCAAGTGAGACAGGATTGGGTTGGGATTATGCAAACAATACTGTGGATGCTTCAGATGATTGGTGGGAGAAGAAGATATTGGTATGATGTTATTATATGAGGCTTTATATTTATTTTATTTATTTGTGTATTCTGTAATATTATTGATAATTTATGTGCAAGAAAATCCATTATATGAGAAATTCAGACATAAAGGATTACCATTTGCCAATGAATTAATCGAGTTGTTCCAAGGTATTATCGCCAATGGACCTAGAGCATGGGCACCTTCAAGTGGAGTTTTGCCTAACATTTACAATGGGAATGAAGGTAAGGATGAAGAGGTGTATCGGCCAGATATGACAAATGAGGGTATTAATTTGGAGGAAGGTTCAAGAGATAGTGATGAGATCTTAGGAACTACTGGAGTAAGCGGTGAATTTAATAGAGTAGTTCTAAATGCTTCTCAAGGAACCTTAAGTGGAGGCAGTGGTAAGAGGAAGAGGGGCGAAAGCAGTAACGCTAGAAAGAAGAACAAGTTACCTAGTACAAGTCAAATAGCAGATGCAATGAGTGTGATAGCTCAGACAACAAAGGAAGAATCTCAACAGGCCAAGGAAACATCAATTCCCTAAGTCATGTCCATAGTCAAACAATGGGAAGAAGTTGCAACTAATAAACATTGGGTTTCACGATGCATGTCACTCTTCATGTCCTGAGAGGCTAGGGTGATGTTTTTGACAATGAAGGATGATAAAGAAAGTGTTTTGGAGTGGTTGAGATATGAATGTTACAAAAATGGTTGATTATTGGAGTTTCAAAACTTATTATGAGTATATGATCTTACTTAAAGAGTAGTCTAACATATTTGTATTATATTGTAGAATTTGACTTATGTAGCCTCTTGAACTACTTATGTACTTTTTATATGTGGTAATCAAGTAATATAATGTTGTGGAAAAGTCATTGGTATTTCTATAGATGACTTATTTAGATGTATCTATAATTGAAATTAAGTGCACGTATTATTTATGTGTTTGGCTACAGATAACAAGACATATGGAAGAGTCATCTAAAAAAAGGCTCAATAGAGCCCAAAAAGTTAGTGCTCTCATTGGGTTGTATGCAACAAAACATTTGTACAAAGAGCCATAAAGAAATAGTGAATATACAGGTCATTTATGGGTGAATGAAATTTTAGAAGGACACCCAGTTCGTTGCTATGAAATGTTTAGAATGGAACCACATGTGTTCCATCAATTATGTAGTGAATTGACACAGCATGGATTGAAGGATACTAGGCGAATGAGAGTACAGGAGATGGTTGCAATTTTTTTAAATACAACTGGACATGGGTTGGGAAATAGGATGGCACAAGAAAGATTTCAACATTCAGGAGAGACTATTCACAGACATTTTCATGAAGTTTTAATGGCTTGCTCGAAACTTGCAATGGAATAAATCAAACCACAAGACAGGTTCTTTCATCATGTATCAAATAAAATAGAAAATGATAAGCGATATTGGCCATTCTTTAAAAATGCCATTGGAGCAATTGATGGCACACATATTCCATGTGTAGTCCCTACTAGTGAGAAATCAAAATATATTGGAAGAAAAGGAATCCCTACGTAAAATGTAATGGCTGTGTGTGATTGGGACATGTACTTTACTTTTGTCTTAGCTGGATGGGAGGGCACTGCACATGATGCTCACATTTTTCAACATGCCCTAACAACTCGATCCATGAACTTTCCACACCCGCCTTCAGGTATATTTGTTTCTTCAATTTATTTGTGTTAGACTTTCCAGCTTACAGGCACTAATAGTAATCTTTTTTTTTGCAAGGTAAATATTATTTGGTGGATGCTGGCTATCCATCACTAAATGGATATCTTGGTCCGTATAGACAGGAACGTTACAATCTTCCTAATTTTAGAAGATCAACTGAATTTGCAAATAATAACGAGGTCTTTAATTATTTTCATTCAAGTTTACGGTGCACAATAGAAAGAACATTTGGAGTTTGGAAGAAGAGGTTTGCAATTTTACGCAACATGCCTAGCTATGACTACGATATACAAGTTCAAATCGTTATTGCATCAATTGCGATACATAATTTCATTAGAAGACACTCTAACTCTGATGCTGATTTTATGCGTAATAAGAGGAAAGATCAGGAAGACTCTAAGGATCAAGAAGACCATGGTGTTGATGAATATTTATCCATGACATCTTTTTCATCAGCTATGACTAGTATTCGTGATATTATTAGGGACCAACTTGTATATTATCATCTTCATTAGTTATTGTAAAATTACTGTTTTATATTTAAGAATTTAATTTTCTTGTCTTTTATTGAATTTATTTTAAGTAAGATATATTTAGTTATTTATTTACATAAATTTAAATGTTAATATTAATATAATTTAATTTTTTAATTAATTATATTTGTAGTTTAAATAATATATTTTGCTTCTTAAATAAAATGTAACAACTTTAATACTATTAGATACAAATTTATCAATAATTTAAATTTAAAAAACAATGTCCTTTATGGTAATTTAAACAGCTAAAATTGATTCTAAAAAAATTATCCAAATATCTTCAGTTCTGTTAAAATTAATGTTAGAAAAACAGCATCCAAACATATTGCGTTCTAATATAATCAATTATGATTAAAATCTATCACTTAATTAATTATTTTCATAATTTATTATATCCAACTGAAATTCAAACGGACCCTATGAGGTTGGAACTTAAGACTCCGTAGAAAACAAGCAGTGCAAGAAAAGCAAAAATTAGCGGATAATGTTCGATTCAAAAAGTACGTAAATTAAAATACATCACATTAGATTTACAGTGCTTGATGTTTTCCGTTCAAATTGCCATCGCGGTAACAAAATCTGTCACTTGCCTTTATCTTGAAGCACATTGGGGCCCTTCCGAAAAAATCTAAAAGGCAGAAGAATTTTCAAATAATGCCATTTTCATGCTTTGTTTTGATGGGATAAAATGTGGGAGGAGAGAAGATGTGAGTAGAAAATAAGAAAGAAAAACATACTTTCCTTGTTCGAATGAAGAAGGGCGAGAGGAAAGAAAAGTATAAGAAAAAGTAAGATAGTTGACCCAGTTTTCTCTTCATAGTTCATATATGGAGAGATTTTAAGAGAGAATTTATTATTTTATGAGTGTCCTTCTCTCTCCCACTTTTTTGTTGTCAGAATTCCACGATGACTGTCTGGCTTCTTCTCTCTCTCTCCCCGCGCGTACACAAGCGCCACTAGACCCGTGCCCTTCCTTTTCTTCTTCCACTCGTGCTGTCACCAAAGTCATGCCCCACTGTATAGATTTAATTTCAATTAATTATTATCATCATATTTTAATGTTTTAAATAAAAAATAATATATTTTTGCTAAATTATTTTTTTAAAATATAATAATATGAAAATATATTTTTAATAAATAATTTAATTTTAAATTATTTTGATAAAATTATTTTTATATATATTTTTCTTTTAATTTATTTCTATAAAAATAATTATATGAACCATTATATTTTGACATAAGAATATTATAGTCATTATACTATTTACTCTTTTTTTTTTCATTCATCCAAACAGTAGGAAAAATAACATTGTTTTCTATAGGAAAAATAATATTGTTTTCTCCGTTTTTTTTTGTTTTTTTCTCAACCTTTTTTCCATCCAAAGGAAGGGTCAATGAATGATTCTAGCGATGATCACTTTTTTAATAAAAAAATATGTATAAGATAATTAATTCCCAACAAACTTAGGCGGAGGGGCTTCTAGTTTCCTACCTGTATTTTCTTTGCTTGATGCAATTTTCCTCTTGCCACAACAAAATGAGAGGTCTTGCATTAGGAATTGCATTGATTAAGACATTGTTTTATCATATACTCCTTCAGTCTCATTTATAAAATATATTAAATATTTATTTAATTTTATATATAAGTTATGTTGTGATTTTTTAAAAAATATTTAAAAAATATTTTTAAAATTATCCTTCTTGAGATAAAAAAGTAACATAACATTATTTTTTAAATTTATTATGCAGGAGTATTATTTTACATACTTTTATTTCTTATATTTTTTTATATGGGTATTGATGATATTAATTAAAATAATTTATAAATAGGACATGAGTATGTGTTAGCATAGTTGTCAAACTCTTGAGTTGACTCTTCGAGTTTAACATTTTTACATTTTTAACTTATAAAATCGTGAACTCACTCATAAATTCAGACTAGATACAAACTCAGTTAAACTCATGAGTTCACCTCTGAGTTTATCATTTTTACGTTTGTAACTTATAAAATCGTGTTAACTAATTCATAGACTTAAACTATATGCAAGCTTAGTTAAACTTATTAAGCTTATTATTTTTTTTAGTTAAGCAAGTTGAGTATATATTATGAAGAATTTGATTCATGAAAGTTATAGGATCTAATCAAAGAAAAAAAAAACTTAAAATGTAAAAACTAATATTAATAATAATAAAAACAAAAAATACCAAAAATAAAAAATAAAAACAATAAATAAGTTCCCTATTTTAAATTTTATATGTTTTATATATGATAATTTGTCAATGTAAATTAGTTTAATTTCAGTTATTTATATTTTAAATATATTTAAATTAAATTATAATTATATTTTTATAGTTATTTATTAATAAAGATGAATTTTTATGAGTTAGCCATACAAATTTATATTCCTGTTATAAATTTATTTAACCTTACAAGTTTAACAATTTTGTGTGTCAGACGAAGGAATGCGAACAGAGACAAAAAGTCTTGATTTCACGGCGACTTCAGTGAACTACGGACTACCCACGTTACATCCGGGCAGGGAATATTAATAGCATGGTGGATCTCTGCTACATACATATTTTTTTTAATTGTAATTTAATTTAATTTCAAACCCAACAGATTACAGGCTCATTTGATTTTCCTGCATTTCACAATTAAAAAATAAAATTTTATTTTTAAAATATTAAAATTTATTTAAATAAAATATTTTATAAAAAAACACATTTTAAAAGTACTTCTAAATAATGACTGAAAATAAATTTGAAAAATGTAACTAATTAAAATCTTTTAAAAATAAATTTAAAAAGTAAGATGTTATATGATTATGTTACCTTAAGTTTAATCTTTTATTTTTTATTTAAAAACAATTAATTTATTAAAAATATAATTATTTTTTTAATAATAATAATTAGGTATCAAGTTTTTAGCATTGAAAATTGAATAATTAATCATATTAATTTTTAGCATTAATATATAATAAAAATTATAAATCTTTATTACATTTTCTAAAATTATAAATAAAAAAATATAAATAATTAGAGATCAAATTTTTAGCATCATAGATAAAATTTTATGTTATTTAAAATATTTATCACATTTTTAAATATTTCAAATATATTATATTTGTATAATAAAAATTATAAATTATCATAAGTCAATGTCTTTTTTGATAATTGTACATTTAAAAGTACATTTTACTATTATAATCCAAATAATTTTTAATGTACCAAACTAACTTTTAAAAAAATATATCTAAACATAAATTTTATCATAATAACTGATTTTTACCAAATAAATTTTTATCAAATGAATTTTTAATAAATTAAAAATCAAACACACAGCATGTTCTCACTTGCACAAGTTGTTTGTCCCAAGTTAATTTGAAATTACGTTGATCATGATTGGCACTGAAACAAGCCAATTAATCATTGTACGCGGCTCGCCCACACGCAGACACGGGTTATGGAAATTAAGGCATGGCCAGACTAATATGAGCTTTGGCAATATGTATAATCCGGAGTCAATATCAATACCAATATACAAATATTAACCTGTATCAAATCTCGCAATTCACAAAATAGGAAAAACATTACTCATTCCGCAATTTATAAAGTATCACAAAAAAAGTACATGCAGTTTATAAATGGAAAATGACTTTGGATATCAGGTATCCAGTTGCAGCCTGCCTGAGAAATCACTTATCGTCGCGTAAAGAATTAGAAAAATTTAATTTTGGTTTTGTTTCTTTATTTGATTAAAAAAAATAAAGAAACAAAACCAAAAATCTACGGGCAGTGCGCATACAGTTCAGCGCCGCTGGCAATGGCATGCGTCGTCCCGCAGCTTCCTGTGATGTTTCGTGTTGCTAAGGCTGTCCTCCGTCAACGTTTGCATTTCGCTCAAATATTTGTATTTCATTCTCAATTTTCAATTGGAATAATTCAAAATCAAAGTTGTGTTTTATTCAATAAAAACTATTTGCATTATAATAACATTACACTGGAAAAACAAGCTAGTGATAGCTACAGTTAGAATGAGATGGTTGGGATAGAACGTAATTACATTTTTAAATTCCTCATGTTTTACGCTTTATTATAAAAGATTTCAATTTTTTATAAATAAAAATATTCCATAATTAAGTCAGATAACGTTGAAACATTTCCCACATTATCTAACTGGATTGTGGGAACTTTGCCCACAGTTGCACTGTCTGAGTTGTGAGAATTTCTCCCCACCAGCCTTTAAATTTCAGACTCTCGACCTTGAAAATTGTATTAAACATTTTATTTTGATAACATAATTGAATATGATTATAAAATACTAGTACAAAGCCACCTGAATAAGACTAAAAGTTGTATTTTAGTTATGTTATTGTTTTATTTTTGAAAAATAAATATACCAGATGGCTTGCATATTTTTTCCTCTTCTCTTCCTTGTATCTTTATAAAATACAAAACCATGTATTTTAATTATGTTAGTACCCACAAAAAAAAAAAAAACTGTGGCAAAATTACGTAAGCCTGCAGGCTATTTCCCATAGTTGAATAATTGAACTGTGGCAATTTATGTCATTTCTATTTAAGCCCCACCACTTGTGCTTAGTGTGAGCTTTATTATTTTCTCTCTGAATCGCGCATATAGGCACTCGTGAGTTTTTCTCTTCTCCAGTAAGTTCTATCTTTTCCACTCTAATGTTTTTGGTTTCTTTACTCTCCATCCCGTCTCTTTATTCTATTCATTTGGCGCATTTTTAATCTCCTCTCTCCCATTCTGTGTGTATTTCCACTCCCCCATTCCTTCCCTCGCCTGGATGTTCAATATGAGTCTGCATCACTTCTCAAGTTTTATTAATATATTTTTTATATTTTATTTTGTTACATGTTTTTCAGTTATTTTAAAATATCTTAATTATTTATGTTTTTTGGGTAGGTTTGAGGGAAAAAATACTTTGGAT